GTTGCCAGTTTGCAGTTTGAACAGCTGATGATTTGAGGGACACTGGGGCAAGCCAGAGAAACAGCATTTGCTGAACAAACATAGCCTCGTACTTGGGTGTCTGTGAGCATTTTGTTTTACCATTGCCTCTGCTAGATGACAGAGGCCACGCAGATTGTACATGCATTTGCCTGTAGGTCCTTTTGGGACTGCAAGCCTGGTGTGTGTGTGTGTGTTTCTGATAAATTTTGTTCTCTCGACTGCAACTCTGATGATACCAATATCTTCTTTCACCCTTGGCCTGCCCTTTCACTCTTGTAGCACAGCTGATAAGGAGATCCTAATGGAAACTCTTCTGGTGTACTTCTGATGCAGAATTGATTCAGGTGCTCTCCAGGGGAAATTATTTTAATCTGAATCTGTATGCAGAACCTGCCGCAGTAGTGTGGTCATTGAACACTCTCTGTTCACAAAACCTCCCGAGCTTGCTGGAGAGGAGGGAGGAACACCAGTACTGTGAATTGAAATATGCCTGTAGCAAATTTGCTTGCCTCAGTTGCTCTTTGCAGACACACTGTGATTGTGGACCATGGGTTGAAATCCCTGTTGTGTGACAGTGCAGTACTTAAATCTTAGTTTGGCAGTTGTTTTCTGTGGTGAGATGAAGGGTGTTTGTGCCTGCAGTTCCCTTAGTGCTGGTAAAGATAGCACACTCAGGAGGAGCTGTCATGAGAGGACCCCCAGCTCCTCCTCGGCGGCCAGATACTCTTATTGTCTGCCCGAATGCAAAATATGCTTGTTCTAAGTGAATATAAGACCTTTGTCCGGGTGTGAATTACCAGGAAAATTTTCTGTTTCTGATGTCACACTCACAGGAAAGACTTTCTTCTTTCAGATTTAAGTAAGTCTGGAGAGCGGATGTATTTTTCACATCCACTTTGGAAACCTGTGTGAAACAAACTATTACAGGTTTTGCCTGTGTTTGGACAGAACCCAGAAGTTGGGCAAAAGCCTTTGGTGAATGAAGGGAGAAAATGTGATATCTGTGGGGTGTTTTTTTTTTATTTTGGGGTGACTGGGGGTTGGAGTGTTTTGGGTTAGTGTGGGGCACTTTTGTTGTTGTTTGGGTTTTTTAGACATTACTTTTATTGTTCCCAGAAATCTGTTTATGATATTCTTCAATGTCTTCAGTTTGCAGCTGCTTATTCTCTAACTCGTATTTTCTAACTTGTATTTTCCAACTAAGACCAACTGAGTTTCTTGGTGAAAAGTACGTTGTTGCTGCTTTTGCCTGAGCACAGCAAAAGCTCCCTGTAACAGGCATTTATTTCCTGAAATAGCTTTTCTACAGGGCAAGAACAGCTTAATTTAGCTAAATTGCTCACTAAAGACTTACCTGATAATTTTACAATGTCTGTACTTCAGCACGTTGTCTTGAATTTATCAGAAGTGAAGCTGATGGATACAGGCTTTGCCCTGGTTGCATTTTAAGTAGACATCTCCCTGGAGATGAGGTGTAAATGTCATGTTACTGGTTAGCATTTGGTGTGTCGTACCAGAGCAAAGGAACAGGTGTCTCAGCTCAGTCTCTGAAAAAGGGAAACTAAACCCATTCCTGAGCTCTGACAGCATTATTCACACAATGCCATCTTCAGGGTTTTCTGTTCCTGGTTCCAGCTCGCGTTTGGGTCATGCTAAGTGCTTTTGCAACCCAGACATCTGAAGAGCCTGTGTCTTGATGTGCTCTGGTTATGCCTGGAGGAGTTCAGACCTGACTCAGGTGCCTTTCTAAACAAGTGGGGTTTTTTCTGTAGGACTGAAATCCTGGCATATGCGAAAGTCCTTCAGGAGAGCTCTGTTTGGCTGCACCAGGATCTGGGCCCCAGGCACCACAGCTTGCTGGAGAGCCCCATCCTGCCTGGTTGCTCACCCATGTTTCCATTCTCAGTGGGAAGGCGGTGATGGCAGAGTCACCTCTCAGGTGTGAGGCAAGAGGAAACTGCAAGGCTTTTCTCATTCAAGAGAGCTAAATTATATCCTGATTGCTCAGCAACTAAATGTCAGCTACCCTTCAGTGATCTCTCCTCCCCTTCTCTTCCACAAGCCAGTTCCAGCAATGGAAATAGGCGGTAGGTGCTAATGTGGAGGTGGTTGTGGAAAGCTGGTTTTAATTTGCGAGTAGAGAGATGTGATCAGTTATGATTAGCCCAGGCCAAATCTGTGGGTTTTTTTCCAAAGCTGTGGGGTTTGTGTGTGTATTTAGCTGACCTTACAGCATTTCACAGTGGATTGCTCTGCAGACCCTGGCTCTAGAGTATCTCTGCTGAGCCCCTCTCAAAGACCACAACTGTAGGCAGACTTTCTGTATTACTTGTTACTGCTTGTGCTTTGGGGACCTCTGCCACGGCCTCCTCTCTTCATGGAGCAGAGGTGGGTCAGTCTAAGGATTCGGTACTCACTAATATTCTTCTAAAGCCCCTGTTTCATAATGTTTCCTCTGTCAGTCCTTTGCTGTTTCTGTTTTCCTTAATACTTTAGGAAACTGGGCTTGAGGTATGGAAATGTCACTGGAAGACTTGCTGGATTTCTTCACCTCTTCATTGTCAGGTTTGCCATGGGAAGTTTTAAAATCTGTTGAACCTTTTGCAATGGGCTTGTTGCAGCCAGAGCTGGTTGGCGGTGTCTTAGTGTATTTTTTTTCCCCTCTTGGAAAGTGGCAGTTCCTTTAGCTTGTTAAGAAAAGTGCATTGATTTTGACGGTAGATGTTTCTGAAGTCCAGAATATGGTTCCTGGATGAGAGGAGACATACAGGTACTTGTAGGCAGGCAGTAGTGTGATGGAGGCAGGTTTTGGATGAACAGGAGGATAGCCTATTCCCTGTGGGTATCCTAGCAATCATGCCAAAAACTTACCCAGGTGGGGGGGAGTTGAGGTGTCTCCTTTTTCACTGTGCTGAGAAGCTGTTCCTGAGTGTCTTGGCTTTAGCCTAGAGCTACAGAAGCTGTTGAGATCTTGAAGATTTTGGTGCACGATTAAACTATTTCCATCTCAGTTCTGTCTGTGCCCTCATATTTCTTGGAAAAATACTTAAAAAAGAGGTGTTCAGGCTCTCTGTTTGATAGTTTCAACCAGCTGACAGCGCTCAAACCCTTTTAGCACTAGTGTGGAGCAAGTTCAGTGTGTCAGCTCCTAAAGTTGCCAAATGTGAGATTAATAATTTCATGCCTCCTGGAAAAACTGATCTCTGCTTTCAGCTGCCGGCAGTTCCCAATACTGAGAACTGGATGATCACTGGCACGCGATGTCGTTCCTGCTCGAGACTGTCTGCTGGAAAGCAAAGGAAGTTGTGTTGCCTGAAGGGTTTACATATGTTTTAGTTCTTGATTGCAATGACAGTTGAGGGCCTCAGTGTTTCTGCCCATAAAATGTTAATCAACTAGATCATTAGAAGTATGCCTTTATGTATATGTACATGCATATATATATACACACACACATAAGTCTGTATGTGGTAATGATTCTGAGGCAATAAAGTATATTTTGAGAAAAAGTGCTTAACTAGCTGCTGTGTAATCCTTTGGGTTTTTGGGGTTTTGGTTTGGGGTTGTTTTTTTTTTTTTGGTGGTGTTGGTTTGGGGTTTTTTTGTAGCTTACTCTTCCCAATCAGAACACTTAGGAGAAAATAGAAATAAAGTGTTGGGGCAATTGTTCCAGACTCAGTCTGGATTCATAAAGAGTGATGCTGCAGATAAGAAATTTCATAATGTTTTTTATGACTTAGAAAGATTTGCTTTCCAGGGTGTTGAGAGGTATGAACCCTTCTAGCTGGACGAGGCAGAATGCCTGCTCCAGTCTGTACATGAGATCATGTGTAATTTTATCAGTCTCATTACACATAGTTCCTCAAAATATGTGAAAATCTAACTGAACAAAATCTTGCTGATAGTGATTTAAATAGGAAGTGCAGTCAAGCTACTTTTTGGAGACCTACATGTGATATGTATTTCTAGAGATCCTGAAATCTGTTAAATTGGCAGAAAAAAAGCTATTGTTACAGAGTGTTCTAAAATGTAATCAGTGTGGAGTTTCTATTCCCTTTTTCTAAGCTGCATGTCATCAGCTGACAGTTTGCTTACTTCTGCTTCCCTCAGACAACTAAGGCTACATAAACTGTTTAAAGTTGGTTTTGTTTAAAGAGTAAATGACCAGGTTTTCAAATACACCAAGCACACAGATTGTTGTGAAAATTGCTTCATAAAATTCCTGCTATATTCAGGTCTGTCTTTCTCTCTCTTTCCCCCACCCTCTTTTATACAGGCGATATGGACTATGGTTTCGATTGCGGAAGTTAATACTCTGGTTGCTGGGAGTGTACATAGCCATTCCATTTCTAGTAAAACTTTGTCCTGCTATTCAGGCAAAGCTGGTCTTCCTAAACTTTGGTAAGTGACTCAGTTTGTTGGGATGGGTGAGGGGTGAAGGGGAGGAGTGTCTTTATCTTTCATTTATCTGCTTTCACTTTCACCCTGCATGTGTACAGCTTGTGAAGGATATGAACTTTCACAGGTTGTAAGTTCTCCAGACTATTGTTTGGAAAGCATTCTCTGTGGCCCTAGTGGTCTTTGTAGTATGTCTTTATATAAATACAGTGACCAAACTGAAGCCAGCTTTTCAGCTGAAAGGGTGTCCTTCAGGAAAACTGTGCAATATGTCAAATGCATTTTTCTGAAGGGTTCAACAAAGTTCCATGAATAGACAGCAAGCAAGTGAAATTAAATCCAGTGAATTGTTTTCCAGGCAGTGACTCTTCACCTGAAAGCATTTTAGAATATTCTGGTTGGGACAGAAGAGGCCTGATCATGCAGTCAGATTGAATGTTTTCCTTGTGTCTGTTTAGCCTTTGCATTTGGTCAAACTGGTGGTACAGTGGGTCTGGTGAGCTGGCTCAGCTCCCAGGTTGCCCAGGGAGGCCTAAGCATCCACAGGATGGAAAATGATGGAGCATCACTGTATGAGAGATATTTTGTGATGTAAATTTGTCTTTAAACCTCACTTGTGCTTTTTGATGAAGTTTTGAAAAATATCTTCCTTTGATTGTAGAAGCTAGAAGGACCAACTGTGGCTACGTTGCTTTTATATAACTTCCATCATTTTGATTGCATGCTCCATATATTCTAACACCTTGGATCATGGTCACTGTGAAGTGTGCGCATGTGTGGGCCAGCTCTTGTGCCTTGATTGTTAGAACTGACAGCTGGGTAATGGGAATTATGCAGGTTACTTCCATTTTCATCACCTTGCTTTTTCAGTGATGATTTTAATTTGCCCTTGCAGAGCTTTGTTAGGTCTCCCTGAAGTTCCTGTCTCTATTCATTCTCAAGTGGCCAAAATAATTGTCCTGTAACACTTATTTGCACTGATATCACTGCAGTGTTGTTCCTACTGCTTTATATAACGGCAGTCAGATTTTACTTGTGACAGTACTCACATGAAAAACTATTTGTCTTAAAACAAAGTGCATTCTAACACACTTATTAGAAGTAAATTGGCATGTTTGAGTAATTCTTCTCCATTGAAGAGTGACATTTCTCCTTCAGAGGACTGGTGTAGGGTTTGCCCTGTCATGTGGCTTTTTAACCTTCTGAGTATAAAACGCTACTCTTCAGCCATCTTTTTCTCCTCCTCTTGTGTAGTTTGGGATTTGCTTCCAAAACAGTAGCACAAGAGCTTCAGGAGAATGTGCTTCCATTTGTTTCTTGAGATAGCTAAAGATGAATCGATAGGCGTCCTCCCGCTGTTAGCAATTGAACCAATGTCTGGATTTGTTCTTGTGGACAGACTTTTATTTCAGGTTATGAGGTACGTGGGCATATGGGTAGAGATCTCAAGCTGTCTACACTGGAAGTCTTCAGAAAACTGAGATTTCTAGAAACATAAATACAGACTACATTAGATTTAGTGTATCAGTATGATTAACAAATCATGTGATTTTTGTCATGTATGTGTAGAATAGATGGACCATCCCAATGATAAATGCCATACATAAAAATTACCTGTAGTTCTATATTTTTCTCTTGCTTTGAGGTAGATGCTTACCTGGCCCCCATCACTAACATTGATATGTTCCCGTTCGTATCTTTTGTAATATAAAATCTGGCAAGAACGTTGTAACAGATTTGGCAAATGGGAAAATCAAGGCACAGAGAAGTTGAATAATTTTCCCAGAACACTGCTAGAAGTGACTTGTGCATCTGTCCAGACCTTGACCACAGAATTTAATGTTCTCTTGGAGGATCCACCACCCTTGTGAGAGTGTCACCCAACGGGTCTCCAGTGGCGTGCATGCTTTGCTGGGAGTCTTCCGCATGCTTTTGCATAACAGCAAGCAGACTTGCCCAGGTGTAGATTTGCCGTCTAAGGGGCCAGATTTGTTGTTAACATCGGCTGTTGTCTGCCTTGGTTTTCATGTTTGGGGAATGATTAGTGATTTTTTGGGGGTAAGTGAAGTGAGATTTGACTGTCACCATTATCAGTGCTTCTTTGTGTGTCAATAGCACAAAAACTTTGGTGTGTTAATTGTTATGCTGCTAAATGTCAAGGAGACAGACTTACTGGTTCTGCTGGAGTGGAGCTCAAGTTTATGGGAAAAGCCTGAATCATTGGGAGAGTCCTTAAAACTGCTCAATGCTGTCAGTAGATCTCTATAGTATCTCCTTTGGTATTGGGTGTGTCAGAGGCTGCCTAGAGAGGCCATACAGCATTGGTGATGGAAAAAGAAGCATTTAGACTAAGCACATCCCCTCATTTAGCACATTGCACAGTGTCTGTAAGATGTAGCTTGTGAACCAAGCAACAGAAAACACAATGCTGAAAATGTTTGGTGTTTGACTTTCCTGATGTTGCTTATGTTTGAATATAACAAGCAATGAACAACTGCGTTGTATAAGATGGGGAACATAAACCATTTGGAAAAATAAATTGAGGTGCAATGATTTTGTTTTCAGGGATCTCTTCCTGAAGAGATGAAGTTTCTGGCCTAATGATCTCTTTTAAATGCTGCAGTGTCTGGGAGATAACAGCAATTCTTTGGTAGTCTTTAGAGAGTGGGCTAATGAACTAGTTATCCTCAAAGGCTCAGGAGGACAGTGTTTAATACTAAAATACAAGTTTATCTTACTCTTACAGGACAAGAGCAGTGTGGTGTCTGCTACTGTAATGAGTATCTCTCTTAGATTGTTGTATTATAGAGGCTGAAACCACATGTTGTCCTGAAACACCTTACAGCTCTGGGATGCACCCTTTATCCCAGGAAGATTGTTCCATCAGTAACTTCCGTTACAGCTACAATGCAAACAGTAAAAGGTTTGCCAAATCAGCTAACCCACCCCACGCAGCAGGAGCGACTATCTTGTGTGGGGGAGATTTACAAAACAGACTGGGCAGAGATAGTAAATGTGTGTCACAGGAAGCTTTGTCTGTCTCCCCCACCTCTTAATTTTAGCCTGCTCCCTGTTTATTTGATGGTTGCTTGTGTCTTCTTACCTTGCTCTTTGATGTTCATATCTTAGTCATAGCTGTAGTCAGTTCATACTTTCACACAAAAAGAATAAGGTCTTCCCAGCATGGTGGACCAGTTTGTACAACTCTCCAGTGCCTTGGTAAAGCAGTTTTGTAAGGTAAAAATTAAAAGGCTTTATATTCTGATTTTTTTTTTTTTTTTAAATTTCAGTGAGGGTCCCATATTTCATTGACTTGAAAAGACCACAGGATCAAGGTTTAAACCACACCTGTAATTATTACCTGCAGCCAGAGGAGGATGTAACCATTGGAGTCTGGTAAGGAAGCCTGTTCTATGCAGTATGTGTCGTGCATCTTTATCCTACTCTTTGTTCTCCGTGTTGCCTATCCAGTATTTTTGCTGTGTATGTGAAAACTATTGCCTGCTCTGATTTGTGGATGTTTGTGTTTTCCTCTGCCAAGTGACCGAGTTCATGTTGAAAAGTATGCAGATCTCTGGAGCTTGTCTGAACTGAGATCAGTAATGCATGAAACACAACTGGACAACCTGTGCATTCAGAGAAACTTTGTAATTTGGAATTGTAAAGGTTACAGGTCTGCATTGCCACAAAGGTCATGCCTCCATATCAGATGAGACCCAAGGAGTTAGAAGTTTTGTCATGCAACTGCTGTTCATATTTTCTTTTGCAAAATAAATGTGGGGGAAGATAGGAAAACAGGATCAAAGTGTTCAGAGTAGGAGGAAGAATATTCTGTGTATAAAACATATGTAAGGCTTGGAGAGTGGGTGAGAACGGAACACGCAGTTTACTCTCTTAACAAAACAAATGACAGTGTCAGAGCTCACTTGTTATTCCTTCCTCACAAAGAAGATTTTCTGGTCCCAGGCAAGGGCAATTCATTTTAGCTCCTTGTTACCCAGGATCAGCTCAGATGACTAGTTCTCTGTCTGAAAAGGTCTGCTTTCAGTACTTCCCGTATTATTATACCAGCTCAAACCAGCTTCTGCATCTGTTTCTTGTGATCGCTTTCTATTGTGTCTCAACACCAGAAGTTTCAAAGCCACAGAAAAATTCCTGCTAGCTTGGAAGAAAAAGAAGTGCCTGCAGCTTGAATATATGTGCAAGAGCAGAAAACACCTGAAAAAAGGCTAGATGCCATGTCAGGTGTGGAGGGAAGGGGGCTGTTCCTTAGTTAGTTAGTTAGTGATGTTAGATCTGTAAGCTGTAGGATTTGGAGTTTTCAGTTATGTGTAACTTGTATGTGTCCACTAATGCAGTAGAGATTTTCTCTTCACTTGAGGGTATATGACCTTTGGAATGGGACAGTGATATCGTGCTACATAAAGGTGGTTCCTTCCCTTTAAGTGAATTTTGGTGAAAGACATGTTTAGAACCTGGAAGTTCAGTCTTTCCAGGGTAGGCTAATAAATAATGGTTTGTATCTTCAGTTGGACAATTAAAATTCTACCTGCGAAGCTGTTGAATAAGTTTAGATTGCAGTCTTGAGATTTTTATTTTGTTTCCCTTACAAGTGTACTGTGTGTCTTTCCTAAAACAGAACGTCCAGCTTGTGGTGGCAATTCAGAGCCCATGTCATTTGTCTTGATACTTATGAGATAGGTTTTCACGAAAGTTTGGAGCCTTGCTTTAATGGCAGTGTAAGGTCTTGTGTTGGGTACACTTCTGAAACAAAGTCTTCAGCCTGCTTTGTTCATAAGCTTGCAAAAGTCTCGAGACAGAACAGTTGGAGAATTTGACAGTCTTACAGTTATTTGGGCTTTTTTCCTCAATGTCTGCAGGCTGCATGCATGCAGGTAGACTTTTTACACTGTTTCCCCCTGTCTTGGTGTGTCCTCTGAGCTTTACATCTGGGAGGAAGGTGTGGTAGATGGAGTTTGTCTTTCTTTGAAGGAGAAAGGCATGTGAGTACTTAAAGTTACTTCTGACAGCTGTAAGCTAGCCCCCTTCTCAACAATTTGAGATAGTTGTGGGCATGTACTCGCTTTCAGTGTTTGTCTTCTAGAGTAATTATGCAGTTTAAATGCTTACCTTCTCTTTGGTCTGTCATTCCTCTCCATTCCATCAGTGCTGAATTCTTTCTAACAGGATGCCCAGCTATATTATCTACAGAAGAATAGCTGTGAGTTAAAAAATTCTGGCTCTTCTAGACTATAGTTTTTCCAGGTAAAATGTTATAGCTTCAAGAACCTGGTGTCTGAAAACAAAATACATGACCTTCTCATCAGACCCTGCGTTCCTCTTTTTCCTCAGATTGACTGTGGAGTCAGATATGCCTCTTACTCATCAAACATTCTTTCCAAAACCAGCTGACTTTGATTGTGCTGAATATCTGCTGACCTAGCTGTGAATCTTGTTTATGGTGTATAAGTATGTTAATTGGAGTAATTAAGTGCCATAAAAGCTGAGGAATTGAGATTTTTTTTTTTCTCCAGAACAGTGGGAATTTCAGTAATCATGCTTTGGGTTTGCCTGTGAAGTTTGATGCCTTGCACAGTCCTGAGTTTTGAAAGCAACAGTGATGGAGGTGAAAATGTAGAAATAGCCCTAACCACTGCCTTTTAAATTTGGCCATTTGTTGTCTAATCATGACAGTTTTATGAAGAGTGTGTGTGAGGTGTGTAATCCTGAGTTAATGTGTTGAGCAGAAGAACTCAAAATTCAAGTGGCAGACACTGAGTAGCAACAGGATGATGTAATTTTTTTCTTCTGTATACAGGCACACGGTCCCTGCAGCCTTATGGAAGAATGCCCGAGGGAAGGACCAGTTGTGGTTTGAAGATGCTTTGGGTTCCAGCCATCCTGTAATCCTTTACTTGCATGGCAATGCGGGAACAAGGTGAGGCACAAAACAGTGATGGCTTTGTTTCATGCTGTGTTTTCCTGGCTTGCCACAGCTTCAACACATTGATAAGAAAGATGGGGACAAACTTTTTAGCAGGGCCTGTAGCGATAAGACAAGGGTAATGGTTTTAAACTAGAAGAGGGTAGATGAAAGGAAGAAATTCTTTACAATGAGTCTGGTGAAACACTGGAACAGGTTGCCCAGAGAGGTAATGGAGGCCCCATTCCTGGAAATATTCAAGGTCAGGCTGGATGGAGCTCTGAGTAACCTTATCTAGTTGAAGATGTCCCTGCTCATTTCAGGGGGGTTGGACTAGATGACTTTTAAAGGTCCCTTCCAACCCAAACTATTCTATGGTTCTACAGTTAAAACCAAAATAAAATCTAAAAGCAGTTTGGTGCTTTTCCTTTCTTGTAAAAGGAAAGCATGTTTTAAGAAATAATGCGTCTCCATTTATTGAATGTGGGAATAGATTTATTGCAGTTATCAGAGATATCTGATACTGTACTTTACCTTATACCCTCTGCTAGAAGCCAGGAGGCTGTGACACTTACTAGATCAGGTAGGGAAAAGTAAGTCTTTTCAGTATAGTGGTCTCTGAATCAAGACATGGGATAGTATTAGTGCTATTGTGTATGTGATTTGCATGCATTAAATAAACTTTCCAGTTCCTTTTGTGAGCTTATTTTAGTAGTTAACACATTCTAAGGAAGGAAAATCAGAAGGAAAGAGGAAGGTAGCGTGCTGGTCTTGTTTCATTATTGCATACATACAGGACATTTGTCTGGAAGAGGGGCATTTCTGAAACTTGTAATTTTGTAGTTGACCATGTGTATCAGCTAAAGAAGTAGGTTGGTTCTCTATATTTTGTTGCTGGATGCTAAAAACCAATAGCGTGGTGTGAAACTTCTTGACGTTTCCAAGAATCATGTTCTTACTGCCTGACTTCTGCATGATACAGTGCTTTAGTTCATTTATTAGAACATGGTGGTTTTCCTTACTAATATGCATCTTACAAAGAGTATCAGCCCCTTTCTGAGTTTTGAAGTGCCGGTGCATGTTCTTTTGAAGCTCATGTCTGCTTGTGGATACTCTGCAAGAGCAGAAACATTGCAAAAATACAGCTTCTGTGATGTAAAGCAAAGAAACTGTTTTAACTGTGCTGGTAGTGAAGGTTCACTAGCCTTTGCATCACAGGAACATTGCCCTTTTTCGCCTAAATTCTTGTCTTACAGTGTTCTTTTTTTGGTACAGGGGCATGGTGTGGAAGATGCATGCTGTGAGCCAGGAAATGCATGAGCATATGGGTTTTTGGAAACTGACCTTGTCTTCTTGTGCTGATATATTACGTGGTTCAATCAAATTGTTGCATTATTTTTCAAATACTGCTTTGCTTGTTTTCTTGCTTTTATTGGGTGTTGCAAATGATACTAATGGAAGCTATGCTGCTGCTTAATGGTGGTAATTTGGGACCAGTATCTCCGTTATGTGCGTATTAATTAGATTTACTTCTTGGCTCCCCCAAGTGCTACTGAGATAAAGTACTGAGCTATGGATCAATTACGTATTTCACATTTTGCTTCACTCTGTGTATTGGAGAAGCTGGAGGTGTATTGGCTTTCCCATTTCAGCTTTTATATATATTGTATGTTTCTACACTGCATATTTAGTCTCTTGTCAAAGGGCTGCTTTATTGATGCAGGCTGCGTTAACTATAAGTAAAAGGCACTGCCTTGGCTTTCTGGTTTGCCTGAGTGGTCTGGAGCTGAGGCAAAAATGTTATGTTTGCTTGATCTCCCTAGAAAAAATTCCTCTGTTGCACTTTGAGGAATGCATGAAAAGGCACTGAAGTGTGCATGTCAATGGTGACTTTCCAAGGAAGTGTATCTTCCTCAGACTTGTATGATTCAAAGTGACTTACAAGCAACCCCTTGCGTTTTGCCCTGAGTATTTTTGGCTGCATTAGGTATCTCATACAGTTGGAGCTGGCAGCTTTTGGCTGGCAAGTGCATGTGTTCTTAGAGGGACACTGGAAAGTGGCATTTTGGTTTAGAGGCTGCAGTGACTGAACCAGTCACAGTGTGAATATTTTAGAGTTTTCATATGAGTGCAGGAGTAGATCTACTTACATCGATACTGGACTAATGTTTGAGTGTGGATTAGCCATGTCATGTCGTGGATATATTTTAAAGCATGTAATGGCACATTCACTCTCCTTTCCATTTTATTGTCTAGATTTCATTTTATGAAAAAAACATTAAAGCAGATTCTTGCCCTGGACTTATTTACAGTGTTCAACTCTGATTTTCTCTGCTCAGTCTTTTGCACATGTCCTTTCTGTCCCTGTGCTTGGAGCCAGGTGAGAAAGTCCAAGGGCCAGCTGCTTGAGTTAACGTGGTGAGTTCTGCTGAGAGCATCACACCCTGGAGAGCAGGGGTTACTGGCTGGGGCAGCACTGGTGGCAGGAGTGCAGGGTCTGCAAAGCCAACAGGGACAGGCTGGTTTGGAAAAGGCAGATAGGAGGGTGGGTTGAAAAGTTCATCTTTACTTGCTGTGAGAAGAGATTTATAGGGAGAAGTTGACTTCAAAACTGTCCTGCATAGCTCAGCAAAGCCTTGCTGTCTCCTTGAGGCCTGTGACAAAGCAGTTATGTTATTTCTTATGTTTGGCATGTTTGTGTTAAACTGGAAGCCTGAGGCAATTGGGAAAGTCTGTTTCTGGAAGCTTAAATGTTCACATGTGGTTTTTTTGTTTGTTTGGTGTTTTGTTTTTTTTTTTCTCTCCTCTTCTCTTCATGAATCACTTTCGCCAGAGGAGGGGATCACCGCGTGGAGCTTTACAAGGTAAGTGGCTGCACGTGTTGTCCAAGCAGTTGCATTAACACATCAGATGTGCACAGACTTGAGAAGACTGCTCATTACAGCCCACTGCCAACAGGCAGATAACTTAGGGCTCTTAGTCTCCTCTAGATATGAAGTGTATATGGGAAAAGGGGACTGTAAGCTATGAGCACACTTCCCCATATTAAAAGATATTTGAAAGGTCTTTTACTTGCTGTTGTTAACTGTCAGCTCCAACTGAACTAACCAGGTTCTTTGCCAGGAATGCCTTCACAACACAGCTTATAGGAAAAATTAAAAGTTTTATTTAATCACAGCCATAATTTGATTGATTATACTAGTATACTAATTTAAGGTACAATTTAAGAGTATTCTTTCATATGTTACCAGGCTCTATATACTCATCATCATAGAATAGAGTATTTTCAGTTGGAAGGGACATACAGTGATCATCTAGTCCAACTGCGTGACCGCTTCAGGGCTGACCAAAAGTTAAAGCATATTAAGGGCATTGTGCAAATGCCTCTTAAACACTGACAGGCTTGACAGGCTTGGGGCATCGACCACCTCTCTAGGAAGCCTGTTGCAGTGTTTGACCACCTTCTCGGTAAAGAAATGCTCCCTATGTCCAGTCTAAAGCTCCCCTGGCACAGCTTTGAACCATTTCCATCATCTGCTAGGCATGTGACCTTATCATAGAGGGATATCAAATCAGTTAGCTAGGACTTTCCCTTTGTGAACCCATGTTGACTGTGCCTGATGATTGCATTATTCTTTAAATGCCTTTCATTACTACCCAGTATAATCTTCTCCATAATTTTTCCAGGAACTAAGGTTAGTCTAACAGTTCTGTAGTTCCCTGGGCCTTCCCTTACACTCTTCTTGTAAATTAGAATAACATTGTCTAGCTTCCAGTCAGCTGGGACCTCCCCAGACTCCCAAGACCTTTGGTAAAACGATCCAGAGGGTTCCTGCCATAACATCTGCTAGCTGCTTCAGTACTCTGGGATGAATCTTATCAGGCCTCATGGACTTGTGAACATTCAGCTGATACAGCTGGTCCCTTACAATTTCATTGTCCACAAATGTAAAGTCACTGCTCCCACACTTCTGGTCCTCTGACTCAGGGGACCAGGCAGCCCAAGGTCTATCAGTAGTATTAAAGACTGAGGCAAAAAAAAGCATTGAATGCCTCTGCTTTTTCTTCATCCTTATTAGTCAGATGACCATCTTCAACAAGTATCAGTCCAATGTTTTCTTTATACCTCCTCTAACATACTTAAGAAAGCCCTTCTTGTTTTCTGACACAACACTGGACAGTTTCAACTCTAATTGAGCTTTGGCCTTTCATGTCTGCTCCCTGCATATACGAACCACAGCTCTGTAATCTTCCTGTGAAGCCTGACCTTGCTTCCAGAGATCATACAATTTCTTTTTCCATTTGAGCTCCACAAGGAGTTCCCTATTCAGCAAATCTGATCTTCTGCCCCTCTTGCTTGACTTACAACACAATGGGATTGCCTGCTCCTGTGCTTCTAAAAGGTGGTTCTTAAAGACTGACCAGCACTCGTGGACTCCTAAGCCCTCAAAAGCAGATTCCCAGGGTGCTCTGCTAAATAGCTCACTGAGTAGCTTCAAGTTTGCTCTCCTGAAGTCCAGGGTAGCAACTCTGCTGTCCTTTTGTCGTTACATTGAAAATTTTAAACTCGACCATTTCACCTACCATCACATCTCCCACAAGTCCTTCTCTATTCACAAATAGCAAGTCTAGGGAGGCATCTTTCCTAGCTGGTTCACTTGAGTACTTGTGACAAGAAGTTATCTCCTACAAACTTCAAGAATTTCCAAAACCTCCTCATCACAGCAGTATGGTATTCCCAGTTGATGTCTGGGAAGTTGACATCTCCCCTAAGGACAATGGCTACCAATCCAGAAATTTCTCCTAATTGCCTATAGAATAACTCATCAGTGCTTTTACATCTTGGCTGGGGTATTGGTAGCAGACACCCACTACATCTCTTTGTTTTCCATCCTCCTGATCCTCACCCAGAGGCTCTCAACCACATCATCACTAAACTGTAAGGGCTGTACAATCAAACCTTTCCCTTGCATATAGTGTGACACCTGCACCTTGCCTACCCTGCCTATCCCTCCTGAACAGCCTGTAGCCCTCCCTCCCAGCACTCTGATCGTGGGATTCATTCCACCAAGTCTCACTAACACCAATGATATAGCCCTGGGAACTGACCAATGCTTCCAGTTCATCCTGTTTTGTTTCTCATACTGCATGTGTTGGTGTACAAGCATTTCAGATATGCTCCTGAGCCCTCCATGCTCCCAGGAGCAGTGTAAATGTTCCCACTAGCATTGCCACCCTCAGGCAATGCCATGCCAGCTCTTGGCTTACCTACTGCAATCCGATTGGTATCCCCTTCCTCCATCAATTCTAGTTTAAAGCTGTCTTGATCAGTCCTGCCAGCTTACAACCAAAGATGCATTTTCCCCATTGGGACAGGTGGATCCCATCAGGTCCCAGCATACCTTGTGTCTTGAAGGCTCTTCCATGGTTTAAAACCCTGAAGTTTTGGCAGAGGCACCAGTCCTGGAGCCAGGTATTGATATCCTGGGCTTGCCTGTTTCTTCCAAAGTCTCCCCCCATTACTGGGAGGACTGAGGAAAACACTACCTATGCTCCTGAATTTTTTTAGCATTTTGAAGCCTCTTTTGATCGACCTCAGACTTTTTAGTGCAACATCATTAGTGAAAGAGCGGGAATGGATAGTAGTCTGAAGGTTGTACTAAGCTCCTCAGTCTTGTGGTGACATCCCTAATTTGGGCCCCAGGGAGGCAGCAAACTTCCCTGAAAAGAAAGTCCGGTCTGCAAATGGGTGCTGCCGTTCCACACAGGAGGGAAACACCCACAACCATAAATCACTGTTGTTTCTTCTTGGCGCTGGTCTTAATGCAGGTTTTGTTGCGAGGATGCCATACGCGATGCCGTACATCACCGACTGCTGGGAAAATATACATGGATTGAGGCCAGCTCAGGTTCCTCTCACTCTTCAAACTTTTGAAGGTGACGTTTGGTCTTTTAAATAGCAAAATGTTGGGCTGAGCCAGTGTAAAACTCTGCATTGGTCCATTAGTTGGCCGGGGTGACAAAGCTAGTACTTGCCTATTCACAGAACAGTTTGCAATAAAACATTTTCAAGCTTGCCAGTGCGGGCGTTACTTTATCACTTGTCAGGCAGGCAGGTTCAGCCTGGGTTTCCCCCTTTCCCATGGCACAGTGCATTTGTATGAGTGGTGCCATCTCAAGTGCTGAAGATTTTGTACAAAATCCAATGAATTTCCCAGATGTAGCACCATGATATGTTATGTGAGAACAGGCAACTTCAGCTGCTTTGGGTCTTTTGCCTAATGACTTTTGTGGTCATTTATTTTATTAAACTCTCTCTGCTGAAATTCTTACACATGATTTCTTGGTCTCGTATCATGTGTTTATAAAAGAGCCATAATTATTTTTGCTGGCTCATTTCAGAGGGGTCTGAGTCTGTTTTTCCTATGGATTTAGCTATCACTCCCTTCTCTTTCTAATTTGTGTCAGAGTGTTGGCATAAAGCTTTATTGCAATGCAGCAAGATCCCCTGCCGCAAAGTCTTTCTAATTCAGATCTCTTAGAAAATGCTGTTGGGCAACCCCACGGAGGCAGGTGATATTTCTTTTCCTTTAAGAAAAAAGGATGAGCTAAGTTGCAGGAAGTTGGTTGGAGAGACTGTCGTGTATGGCGATCTATTTGGTCATTTTTTCTGGGAACCAGCGTATGCTGCAATGCATTTTCTGCTGGCAAAGACAGGCAGAAGAGTTGGTTTGGATTTTGACTGAGCAAGAGTAGCAGTGCTTCAGAATACTCAAAAGACTCTGTGTGCCTCTGTGCATGTACACATATGGAGAACAGAGTTTACCAAAACCCAAGGTTTCTGTTCCTGGGTCTGGTATTCTTTTGCTTCTGAGAACACAGATGTCTAAGTTGCTTAGTTTGTCTTTTTCAGTCAGTTACTCACATGTGAACACACACGTGGGCTAACCAGAACCATGCCAGAAACTCCAGGTTCATGCTTATTCCAGTAGAATGAAACAAGCTGGACTGCTGTCCTTTTTGCTGGTGCTGCCAGTAGGCTGGAAGCAGCAGGGGAAACCCTCTAGAAGAGGCTCAGAAGGGAAATAATAACTGTAAGAGGTCTCTGTCCTTTGAGTGGTTGATTCATGTAAGCAGCTTTTCTCAGCAGCAGCACTGGAAATTGAGACTGTCACTGCTGCACAGTCTGTGAGCAGTAGGTGTCTGAAATCGTTCTTGCCTGAATCGAGGTGTGTTTGAAGACAGTAACCAGAAGCAGGAGCCATGAGGAAGCCAGCAGGAGGAGCAGCAGTGGAGCAGTACCCAGATAGAAAGTCGTGTTGAGGGGCATGCTTTCCTGTAGTCTGGACAAGAGTCCAGTTATTCTTTGCTTAAGCCTGGTTTCCAGATATCACAGTTACCAGTGTATTCAGGGTCACTCTGTTATTCACATTATTCAGATTATTCATGCTTGAATAACACAACTCAAAACCTGTTAAAACTGACAAGAATCCTGTTGTCTTAGCTACCTTGACTGTCAATGACAGACTACTGCAAGCTCCTTCTGCAATTCATACTTGTACATTGAGGCTTCAGCAGTGAAGCTTTTAGTCATTACACTGATGTGCTGGGATAGTGGAGAGCTGATGCAGAGGGTTTTTTTCCCACTGCCTGAAGTTACCCAACTTTATAGCAGCACATGAAACAATACAGTATTGTTATAAGGGTGTAAGTAATTACTATAAATAAAACGTTTGGCATTGTTACACTAAACATCCTGTTAAAAGTCAAAGGAAATGCCTGTTACCTGCAAAGTGAATTGAAATCTTACCGGCTTCATCTAAGACTTTTTCTGAACTTATTCTAAGGGGAAAAACAAGAAAGAAAAACACTCTTAAAAAAAGACTTAAAACAGAAGAGACTCTTAGTGCAGGGCATGGGATTTGGGATGCTCCCAGGGTTGTTGGCTTCAGGCAGGGATGTTACAGACAGCTGATGGTGAGCTGTGTCCTTCACCAGGAAGAGCTGGACGTTGGTGGTGGAGGTTGTCCTTCTCTTGTGTATCCACTGTGATAGGCCATACTTTGGCCTTGCTTTGCATGTCTGCTTTTGTCTTGGGGAGTGGGTGTTTGGGTGCTGCAGCTGCCCAGTGCCAGGGTAGGAAGGAAGGTGCATGAATGAGCAGCAGAGCCATGGTGCTATTAGTGCGGGCCCTGCATCATGAAGGTTTACGTGGGCATCTTACAGCTCTGGCAGCTGCAGTGGTGGTAGCAACAGTTTCTGCTGCTTTTCCTGCTTGCTTCCATTCCTTCTCAGCCTCATCTCTTCTTTTCCCTGGAAGAAAAAGGCACTTCTGAAGTGCAAGAGCAGGGCAGTGCCTGTTGTCAGGGCTTGGCAGGTCCTTGGAGGAATGAGCCCCTGCAGGTGGCTCACCTGTATCTTGGCTTTGAGTTGAATGGGTGCAGGAGTGGGAGGCTCTGTCGACTTCTTCCTTTGGTAAAGGCATGAGATGACCTTAATCATCTTTATGACAGCTCTTTGTCACTGCTCTCTGCTAGGGAGAGGAGAACTGGGCACACTGCTTGTGTCATGCTGGGCTGTGAGGAGGCATTTCTTGGTGGTCAGGGGTCCTGAGCATGGCCTGCCTAGGTTTAGGTGAGCATGGAGATGGCTGCTGTCTGTGCCTGGGGGTGTCTTGAGGGCATCCTCATTGCTTATTGCTGTGAGAGGGCTGGTGCTTTTGGCAGCTGACCAGGACAAGAGCCAGGCAGATTAATATTGCAGCATCTCCTGCTCTCTGCAAGGTGTGTTTGCTTTGTGTAGCCTTGCAGCTCCTGGCTCCCAGTGGCAAAAGGAGAATTGGGCTGAGGGTGCATCATGCCATTCCCATCCCTCTTCAGGAGACTCCATGCTCTTTCCAGGCTGCTGTCTCAGGTGCTTCCTTGCTGCTTTTGGCTGTGCTGAGTGGCAGGATTTGGAGGTAGGGCTGTGCTTGGGGGTTCAGGTTAGATTGGGGTTAAGGAAAGCTGGAGGCCAGTCTGTGGTGGTCTTTGACAAGTATGAGGTGCAGGTGGTGGCTGGTACAGGTCAGACTGATGGTCTGAGGAGATTTTAAATGCAGGGGGAGAACCAGGTGCTGAAGCGCTGTTTGCAGGAGGACAGACAGAGGGGGAGAAGGTGAATGTTCAGGTGGAAGAAGGCAGAGCTGCCATGGGAACAGTGGCCTGGGGCCAACAGTGATGCTTTCCTGCTGCAGGGGCTGAGCTCCCAGAGTGAGGTGGGTACCAGCCCTAACAGCACAGGTGCAAAGAAATGTAGGGTGGAGATCAAAAAGAGAAAAATGTTTGAATTGAGAACATTATCAGTTAATTATTTATCAGTAATTTAGCAGATAGAAATTGAAGGAATAGTTGAATAGTCTCTACTGGAACTGGGATATAGTTGGCTTTGAAAATGAAATACTAGTCCTGTATGCACAATTGCAATGGATGCGTTAAACAGCATATTTTTAAAGAAAAAATAGAGGATGGTAAAAATCTGTTTTTAAATGTAAGATCTGCTAATTAAAAAAAGTGCATCTGTTTGTTACTGAGAAGAGATGCTGCCAATGCAGCCAACACAACAAAGCATGTATAGAAGACAGGTAAACTGTCAACAGGTTAAATAATTTTTAATGACCTGGAAAAGGCTAGATTGTATGTGATATCTTAGCAGTAAAATTGCATGGTAAAGCTGAAAACCAAACTTTTCAAGAAGGAACTTTGTGTTCTGCGTGTCCAGTCAGGGGGTCCAATATGTAAGTCAACATATAAAAAATGGTATATAGTGATTCTGATGGAAATAGCTGTCCTGCAGCACCTAACTTATTAATTAATATTTTACCTGATTATTCTGCTATTGTTATGTAGGTTGTAGCGGTATTCTGTACTGTGGTGTATATACATAACCACATCTCTCTGTGATGTTGGTATAGTTATTTGCAAGAGGATGTTGAAGAAAGAGTAACTTGGGTGCAGATCCCAGAGTGGACCAATTGCATATTTAATACCGCTGCTGTAAAGGGCCTTTTCCCTGCAAGTGCACACAGTACGGACCTTGTCATCTTCAAGGGCACCCCTTTGAAGGATTTAGAGCCAAAGAAAGAGAAACAGGAATTGCTTGAAGAGAACAGCAAAAAGCAAAGGAGCTTCGAGTGAATTGGAAACTGTTGCAATTGCATCTGCTAATATAAATTCCAAATAACTGTTAGTGGGAAAATAGCATTAGAAGAGGGGTAGTGGAGTAACATAACCCCATGGCTGGTGCCAAGAAATAACACAACCAAGTGCAGCAAGGGTGACCATGATGTAATTGTGTTACTCTTGGGGGCGGGCGGGGCGGTGCCAGCAAGCAGCAGGGCAAACTGTGTGATACTGGCTTTCTGTTTTCGGGTGACCATTAGATCCTGGTGGGATAATGGAAATGCTCTCTCCATTTCCAATCAGGCACCAGTTGTCTGTGTAAGCTCCACTTGTATGCATACCGTGTGCCCCCAAATTGTTGTAAATTGTCTAATCATTTATAACTCTACCCAATATCTGTATATGTAACTTAAGGTTAAAATCATACTATTCCTTCAGAAGTAATGCTCAGCTTACAGGTATCATGTTCCAGTTGTATGTTGCAATAGTCCCAGTACCACTAGGTGTGTTGTTTAAAAAATTGCAATGAACGCTAACCCAACTGTTAACGCTGGAAGTCCAGCTTGTGGTGCAGCAAGCCATGAAGGTAGAGAATGTTGTACACCAAGCAGGTACCTGATCTGCCACAGTGCTGCGCAGTCCAAACCACCGAGCACTGCTCCTGCCTGCAGTCCCTTTTGCTCTGACCCAGAAAGGGATCCTGAACATGGCAAAAATTTAGAGGAAGAATGCAAAAAGGGATGCTAATGTTGGTTTTACCAAGGCACTTTTCTGAGCAAGTTGATCTAGTATTGGGTATTTTTACTTGCTTTTAACAGATTTTGTTAGTATTTCCATTGGCTGTAGCATAAATCTTTGTGATAGGGCAATTGCATGTTTTGGATGTATACATTTAAGCCTTCTGAAACCTGAAACGGGCTTCTATATGTTATGCTAACATTTATGCCAATTTGAAGCAGTTGTACTGTTTCACTGGAAAACCTGAAAGCGTTTGTAGGGGAAACAGTCATAGGCTATTTTCAGATCTTAAAGTCCAAATGGTTAAAAGGAGAATCAACATCTAAGATGGCCTGATATGAGGTCCAGGAAACATGTGGAGTAAAACCAGTGGGCTGAGATGATTAGTGTTTGAAAAGCTCTGTGCCTGCCATACCGAAAAGGTGTTAAGTTGTTGCTTTACCATGTCAGGCTGATAATGTTATAAATCAGATCCCTGCCCCTTGGCCTGAGGCAAGAGCACAGCTGCTGTGCAAGTCTCTATGATGGGTTTCTGCATGTTTCTCTCCCCTCCAGGTTCTCAGCTCCCTTGGGTACCACGTGGTCACATTTGATTATCGAGGTATGTGGGCTTCTCTTACTATGAAACGCTTTTAGATGTCTCTTTCTGTAGAAACAACAAAGAAGTTGCTTTTTTTTTTTGGGTGTCAGGGGAGCTGTTGTTTTATAAATGCTTACTGCCAGCTAATTAGATGTGGTTATTGCTTCTGGTTTTTTCCTTATGGGTATCCAAAGAACTTCCAGAAATTTCTTTCCAGTGCCTTCCTGTGTAGCACTGCTTCCTGATGTCCAGTTCAGTGGACTCTGGCTCCTGTATGTCCTCATGCACAGGGCTCATTGATTTGGGAGCTAAGGAGCAGAGGGTGACCCAGGCACATATGCTGTCACAGCATCCAATTAAGGCATCCAGGTGCACATCTGGAAACTAGTAAGCTTGCCAGATGTAGTCTTTTGGATATGATCTAATTGACTTCCTTGAGGTCACACAGGGAACTGAACTTGCACTTCTTTTTAAAAGCTGATAGGTGAGGTAAGACATAGAGTAAATTACTTGCTAAGAATTGGTAACGTCCTCGGCAGAAGCCATGACCATTTTGCACCTCTGTGCCACCAGCAGTCAAGCGTCTGCTGCTCTTTTTTTTCCCTTCTTAGTATTTAAGCCACGGCTGCAGTGTAATGCTACTGGAGATACAGGAAAGAAATTAATCCATTGCATTTTTATCAAGACGACATCTGGGGGAGGTTCATTTGTAGGAGCTCGCCCTGTTTTTTCAGTCCTGCTGGCAGCTGCTTCTCTGGCTGCTTATTAGGCATCAGAAGGGATGCGGGATGCTTGCTGCTTAGCATAAGATATGTAGACATGCTGCAATAGTGATAGAGCCAAAACAATCAGGAGGGCGGAAAATTGCTTGAGGGCATTAATCGAACAGCATGGACAAACTGATATTGCAACAGCTTTGTGAAAGGTGCTTGGTTTTTGACCCTAAGCATCCAATTCTTATGCTGTTAGAGACTCCACTTAATTTGGTTACATATGTGCAAAAGCAGCTAAGGTTTGGGAGCTGGGCTGTTGCAGATGGGTAGGTGCAAGAACACAGGGTGGCAGCGTTTGAGATCCAGCTCTTGTTTTTGTTGTTGACTAAATCTACAGAAACTCCTTGGCAGTCAGCAATTATGTTGTTTAAGTGGCTGCAGAGATCAGTCAGGACTTTCAGCCCCAAACTGTAGAGGTACACAGTGAAATAAACAGCAACTGTCCGTGTCCCAGGTCCCTTTGCAGTTGTAGATGGGCTGCATGGGAAGAGCTGGCTGGCTTTGACCAGTTTGTGTGATTCTCAGAAGGACTACTTGTGTTTCAGGCTGGGGCGATTCAATAGGCAGCCCATCAGAGAGGGGAATGACCTACGATGCCCTTCATGTCTTCGACTGGATAAAAGCAAGAAGCGGAGACAACCCTGTCTATATATGGGGACACTCCTTGGGCACAGGGTAAGCATCTGATCTCTGTGGGACTTAGCAGCTTCTGAAAAACATTAAACACTGACCTTGGATGAAGGTGCTGTTTGCCATAATCCCCAGGCTGGCTTGGCTTGGAGTCTGTGGCACAATTGCTGCAGAGTAGCTTCACCTGTGCACTCTACAGAGTGAGAAGGGCTGCAGTGAATGACTGTGCAGGAATTGATCTTGAACTTTCATTGCCCAGAGGGTTACACTGGAAGAAAGACACTTAGAATAATATAATGCAGATTGACCAAAGGGAGACAAAGTGGGACTGCACTGATCTCTTCCTGTGGTGAACCTATGTCTATACGTCTTTCAGAGCTGAACATCAGGCTTCTTTGATACTCTGAAAGAGTATCTCAAGACCAGTTGCACGTGCATGTGACTTGTCCTTACAAAACGTTTTCCTCCTGTCCTGGCAAACATGCCGTGTGTAATCAGTACTCATGCAGATGCCTGCATGACTACACTGCTGGCCATCTGTGACATTTATGTGGTCATGCCTGGCACAGGATGTTCAGAGTGTCAGGTGCCTTTGCCTGCATGTTTTTAACTTTCCTTCTTCCTCCCTTTGCGTTGCTGTCTGGAGGTGGGTCGTGTTCAGCAGACAGCACGTGCTGTTAGCCCCTTGGTTTGCAGAGGAGCAGAGGGCAAACACAAGAGCTACTTTTGAGTTAAGCTATATGCAGATTAAACTATTTGAGACCACAGCATCTTGCCTTGCTGTCCAACAGCTGTGTTGCTGGGACAGGGAGGTATTTCAGGATAGTGCCTCTTCATTGCTGTGATACTAAATATCCTGCTTTGTTTGAGAGAAGGCAAAGGCTTTTCCTTTTGGCTCTTCCTCTAAATTTTTGCCATGTTCAGGATCCCTTTCTGGGTCAGAGCATGCTTGTGACGTCTCCCAGTGCACTGCAATCTGAGTGGCCTGGGACTGTGGTTCCCAGCTGAGTTCCCTGGTGACCATAGCCAGGCTGGAGTTTGAGGTTTTTGAAATATGCTGTGCTTGGAGGATTCAGCAACTTTGGAAATATCCCTGCCCCATTAGGGAGATGCATGGGGGAGACCTTGCTGCTTTCTGACCCAGCTATGGAAACTTCTTGCAGTGTCACCCTCGACCCTGCTCTCCAGCTGCCTGGAACACAGCACCCCTCTGCCCATACCCCTGCATTCCCCTATTTCTTGCTCAGCCCTTGTGGTCTGGGGGTAAGAGGCTGTGTCATACAGCTGCAGTTATGCTGGGAGCCTGAGAGCCACCTTAAAGGAGGTCCTTCCATGTGGCTACATGGTGTGCTGCTTCCTTGGACTTGTTCACTTACCTAAATGCAGGCACCTGACGGCATTTGAGACAGTTGGGTATGGGAGACCTGTGGGAACCGAAGTCATTGTGGGCTGGCTGCTCAGACCTCAGTCAGTGTGAGGCATCGACGTTACAGCAGTTGAGTTGTACCTCTGCTACCTACTACCATTAGAGCCTGGTGCTTTGCAGAGGGCCTGTGCCAGATTAAATGCTCATTGTTTTTCTTTCCAGGGTCGCAACAAATCTAGTGAGGCGCCTTTGTGAGAGAGGTAAGTCTCTGGTGGGTGGATGCTCTTCCCACCCAGCCTGGGTCCTGCTGGCATCCCAAATTTCCACATGTTTGTGGTTGTGACAAGGCTGTCCTTGGCACACCATGGTGGCAGCTGCTCTCATAAGGCAGACGCTGACCTTGCTGGCTATCTGCACCCCTGCATTTCAGCGCATTGCCTTCGGCTTTTCAGAAACACCTCCGGATGCCCTGATACTGGAATCTCCATTCACCAACATACGGGAGGAGGCGCGAAGTCACCCTTTTTCTGTGGCAAGTACACAGTGGCTCTCTTACAAGTGGCATGTGATTGTATGCTTAGAAATTAACCTTCAGAAGTGACGTAGCTGAGCTAACTGCATGACTTGTGGGACAGCAGTGATATTTATAAGCATCAGGGGTAAAAAGCTGCACTTAGGGCAGCTCTTGGGAACATTACTACAATAAGCCAGTACCAGAGCCTGCTTAAAGAAAACAGAAACTGGGATCAGAAAGGGCAGTAAATGTAGGAAGGGGAAGATAGACTCTGCTCTCAGCAGTGGATAGCCTGTTCTTCTTGTGTTGTAGCTTCTCTGTTGCAGGAAGCTATTTTGTGGGTTGTAAGAAAAGCGACGGCAGAGCTGGGCTTCTCTTGGTCACTACCCCATCTGTGTGGCTGCTTAGTGCTTGTGTGGTTTCCCTGGGGAATTTACTCTGATGTGGACACCTCTTCCATCTGGCATGGCTGCGAGTTGGCTCTGAACTGAGCAGATGCCCACACCAGGTGTTGGATGTGGCCGGGCTGGTGAGGTGCCCTGGGATAAAGCTCTCTTCCAGGAACACTTGCCAGCATGATACCTAGAGACCTTGACCATACAAGCACCCAGAGAGCCTGCTCCTGAGCAGGCTGATAAGATGGGCCTGAAACAGGAGAGGAACAATAATGCTGGTGGAAACACGGACCATCTCACTTCAGAGAGCGCAGCCAGCAGCCAAGGGATGTTACTGGGATGGCAGTGGCCTGCCTCATTACTGCTGTTTGTGTAACTGTCCTGCTGGTGCCTGCCACTAACACAAATCTTTCCTCTCAGATATACAGATACTTCCCTGGGTTTGACTGGTTCTTCCTTGACCCCATCACGACAAGTGGAATTAAATTTGCAAACGATGAGAAGTGAGTTCCCTCTTTGCTGGGGTTTCAGCTGTGGCTGTAGTGAGTGAGCCATGGCAAGCATCAAGGAGGATAGATGTCAGACTGCACTCTCTGCTTTTTTTTCTTCTTGTTGAAGCATTATACTTGCTGAAGGGATTTCAGTTACTCTCACAGCCCTGAGTGCAAGATGGCTTTGCACTGTGGAGCTTGCTCTTTTTCAGTTGTTCTTAATAAGGCCAGATGCAACAGAGAGCACAGAGTACTCAGGGATATGCTAATTTGGTCCATGTGATTTATGCTTTTCAAGTGTATGTTATGTGTTAAACAGTAGCATTGGGGCATTGAAGGTTTGGGAAGATTTCTCTGCTGACACAAGCCACTCTGTGTGTAATAACATTGTCTCTTTTCACTGAGCCTTTCTTTCAAGAGCCTGAGCATTTGTGAGTTTGGTTTGCAGTACTGCAAACCAAACCAGACCTTGGGGGATGATGCTTTGCAGTGGGGTGAGCCACTTTTCTCTGGTCTAAATAGCAAATAGCTTTTGCAAGGATGCATTTCACTAGTGAATTTACTATAGAGCAAATGAATGGGGCCCAGATAATAGTGTTTTCAAGATCTGAACTGCAGTTAATGACCCCCAGGACATGTTTGTCATTGCAGTTTCCTTGAAAATCCAAGTGTGTTGGTGTTAGAGAGTGATGGGATTGCTCTGAGCCTTTGTGACATTGCTGTCTCTTTTACAGTGTGAAATACATTTCCTGCTCCCTGCTCATCCTTCATGCTGAGGATGACCCGGTGGTACCATTTCAACTGGGAAAGAAGGTACACGTGTGGCTCTGAGAATTGATCTGGTGGGGGGAACTGGTGCAGATAGAATGACAACCCAGCCAGGCAAAAAGTCAGCAATAGGAAGGTGTATGTAGAAATGCATAGCCCAAAGGGACTACAAATTCTGTGGTGCTGGAGGTTGCAAATCAGTAGTGAAGTGGAGCTAGAGCTAGCAAAGCTGGTCAAGCCAGGGCCCATAACCCACCCCTGAGAGGTGTGCTGGTTTGGCAGGGGTAGCTGGTTTGGAGTGATATGTGTCCCTTACCTGCCTCCCCTTGAACTCAGCTTTACAACATTGCTGCAACATCACGGAGTTTCCGAGACTACAAGGTGCAGTTTGTTCCATTCCACACAGACCTCGGCTACCGGCACAAGTACATCTACAGGAGTCCAGAGCTACCTCGAATACTGCGGTAACAGCCAAGCTAACCGGGGTCTCCTCTGGCTTTGGGGAGGGGGCCTGGGGCTTTGGGGCACACTGTGACATTTGCCCAGGAGCGGCAAGAGAGATGTGTAACAGGCGCCTGTACTGGGCAGCTTTTCTGAAAACCCCTTTAGTCTCCAGAGTGGGTGAGATACTGGGGCTGGCTTAGCACAAAGTCAGAGCTCTCCACCTCCCTGCAAAGCAGGTTTTGGGAAGGCTGCTCTTCTCCCACAGAAAGCTGGGAGCACTTCTCTCTGGCTCATCTGTGCTGTGAGCTGGATGCTCTGGAGGAGTTGTCTGCAGAGCAGCTACTTCTGCTTGCCTCTTCTAGTGGGAGCCCCTGATGAGTGAGAGCAAAGTTTAGTGCTGTCACCTGTAGCTGCAAATGCTCAAGCCCTAGTATTTGCCAGGGGGATGGGAAGACTTGCAGACTGCAGCATGCACCGAAGTGTGGGAGAGCCGAGTGTCACTGCTGTGTCATTTCCTTTCCTAGGGAATTCCTGGGAAAATCTGAACATGAGCATCATCACTGAAGACTGGTTGCTTGGCAGCACAGATTTTCCTTTCTTTCCTTCCTCTGTCTCCTTTTCCTCCCCCCTCCCTGTGGGTCAGTCTGCCATTCTTCCATCCCTGGCACTAGAGGAGGTCAGGGATTCCCACTCTGGTCCTGATGTGTACCTTTGGCAACTCCAGCTCCTGGCATCAGCGTCTGCGATGGTAGAAGGAAGTTGTTGACTTCTCTTTTGACACGGATGGAGGGGTGATAACAGCCCAGGAGCCAGTACCAAACTGTGAAAAATGTAAGCACAACAAAGCCTGGCCAGTCCGGTGTGGTACTGCTGAGGACAGACATTCCTAGGACACGTGTGTCATGACCAAGGGTGTTTCTTTTACTTTTAAACACTGTTGCTGTTTTTGGTTCATGTAGAGACTCATTTGTAGGTGAATGGGTTTTGCTGTTGTTACCACAGTTGTCTTGTTTGAGTTTGAGGTGTTCTCTTTCTAGGAAATACATGTTTAGCCTTTCCTTTTTGCTAAGTGGCTGTAATTACAAATACATGGAAGATCCAGGTGGTGAGAGATATTTTTATTGAGCTCTTCAGTCACAATGTGTTGCAAGTGTTGGGCAAATTGCACACATTTGGAAATAAAATGAAAGATTTTTTTTTGTTCTTCCTTTTCAAACATCTGGTTAATGGAAAAGGTTAGTGCCCTTTTATCTTTCTGTACCCTTTTCCTTCTGAACATAATTTCTGCTCCCATCCCTGCTATCCTCTGTGGAGCTCCTCCCATTCTTCACATGCACTTCCTATTAGGACTGAAGTGACTTATGTAGATAAATTGCAAACTTGGGAGTTTAGGCCGGAAAGCGTGAGATTACTTTTTTGCTTGATCTCCCCCTTCCATGAACGTGGGCCCAGGATGTGGGAATGGATGTCTTCCATTCTCCCTGTATGCACCCAGACAGACATGTGTTTCTTTTGGGTGGGAAAGGCAGGGTTTTTTTCCTCAACTACCTTTTAACTCCTTAGGTCAGATTTTTCTGTTCCTGGTGGCTCCACTGTTCCTCTGTACTTAAAAGCAGGCAGTGGTATGCAGTTCTTGATGCAAAAGTAAGTCTGGGGTGTCCCTCCCCATCTCTCCATCCACCTCCCTTCCATGCTCTGGGCATCCCAGGCACTTCCAGTAGCACTTCTCAGCCCATCTCACAGCCATGGTCAGAGCACGGTGTCATAGAATCATAGAATCATTTAGGTTGGAAAAGACCTTTAAGATCATCCAGTCCAACCATTAACCTACACTACCAAGTCCACTCTAAACCAATCAAGGGTAGACTAGACTAAACCATGTCCCAAAGTGCCATGTCTACCTGTTTTTTGAACGCTTCCAGGGATGGTGACTCCACCACCTCTCTGGGCAGCCTGTTCCAGTGCTTGACTACCCTTTCCGTGAAGAAATTTTTCCTAATATCCAACCTAAACCTCCCTTGGCACAGCTTGAGCCCATTTTCTCTTGTCCTATTGCTAACTACTTGGGAGAAGAGACCAACACCCACCTCACTACAACCTCCTTTCAGGTAGTTGTAAAGAGCAATAAGGTCTCCCCTCAGCCTCCTCTTCTCCAGACTAAACAACCCCAGCTCCCTCAGCTGCTCCTCATAAGGCCTGTGCTCCAGACCCTTCACCAGCTTCATTGCCCAGGAACCAGAAGTGGAAATGAGCCTCTCCCACAGGAAGAGGTTCTGGGGATGTCCTTGCTGTGCTTGGGGCTGGAACAGGGGCTGTTTTATGCCACCAACGAGCTCTGCACTGAGATGGGAGAGGGTCATATGCTGACTCTGTGGTGTCTGGCTGAGGACCTGGCCCTGCTCCCTGTCAGTCCATATAGACAATACCAGGTACTGTAGGTTTAGTCACTAGTGCTTAGAGTGAATTGTGCTGCCTGAAGGGTCTGTTCGGGGTGTACAGCATAGTATAAACTGCTACGCATGCATCCAAGTTATATCTGCAGGCTCATACTAGTTGCAAAGCAGACAGTAGCTTGTTCTTGTACTGAGATTCTTCTGCCATAGCGTGGTTGTCCCTGAGGTTTCTGATCTTGATACTCATAAGCTGTGCCACTTAAGTTACGTTTGACTCACTTGTATTTATTGCACTGACAGAAGAGAAACACTTACTTGGCTCTGGAGAGCGATGTGCACATTCCAGCTAATGCTGCTGCCGGCAGCTGGCTTGGGGCAAAGCGCAGGCTGAGGCTGGCTGGCTGCCGCCTCCTGTGTGACAGAGCTGAGGGTCCAGCATGTGAACCGCTGTTGTTGGCGATCCCAACACCGCCATTCCCGTTAGTAGGCCAGTGATACGCTTGGAAATGTAAACTGAAATGTTTATCTAAAAGTGGTGTAGTTTTAATAAAGGCATTGACTGCTGATCACTTTAGCTTTACCTGTTTTACCTGGCAGTTTTGGGGACTTTTTCCCCAGTTGGGCAGGTCAGCTGGGTGTGTGGCAGGGCTGCAGTAAGGTTGTGCATGGGAGATGAGCTTGCAGCTGGGACTGGGCAAGTCGTTGTGGCTGTTGCCAACTCTGGGTGAGTGGCTCTCCTGGAGCCCAGTGGGTCTGCAGCTGTAGTCTGGCTGCAGCTGAGGCTTTCCTTCTCCACTGGGGATGGGGGAAATGGGAGCTGCCCGTGGGACTTCTAGCACAGGAGCCCTGTGTGCCATTTGCACGGCAAACTACAACGCTGTAACACCCACCCCAGGCAACACCCCAGGGTGCAGGTAAGTGACTTTGGCCCTAGTTAGCCCAGTGCAGCTTCTGGTACCAGCTCCCTCCTGTACATCCTGTGCAGTGTGGCAAGACTGACCTTTCTGCCATGGACATGTTGCCCCCATGACAGCGCTGGCACCCCAGCACCATGCCAGCTGCAGGGGACCACATCCCCTGAAGCCACAGCTGGGGAAGGCCAGCATGGCTTCAGGTGTCATAGCCTGAACTTGTTGCAAGGTGAACCCACAGACATGGAGTAGTCACAAGTCAGCCTGAAGTCAAACCAGTCTGGTCATTTTAATGAGTTTGTGTCACACAAGGGAGTACTGGTGCACTACACAGCACTACGGGTGTTAAACGCTGACCCCGGCACCAGGAGGGACACATGGAGCAGCGTGACCCAGCTCTGGAGGGATGCAAGAGATGTGATGCATGTTCACACCCTGGGTAGCACCCAGCATGCAGCTGTGCCTGGCGAGCCAAGAGCCTGCTTGGGGCCTGCAGGGTCAGCCACCCAGCTGGCAGTGGCAGGTACAACCCTCTCTATGCAGACATGGAGGTTAAAAATCCCCGGAGTGGCTTGGTTACTGGGCTTTACTATGTCAAGCTCTGTGGCAAGGAAGTCGCTGATCCCAGGCCTGCTCTCCTCCTTGTGGCACACAGCATTTGACATTGCTGCCTGCACTAGGGCCAGCTGCTTTAACAGCCACCCCCACCTTCTCTAGGCGTTGCTGGGGAAGGGGGTGACCAGAGGGGCAGACAGTGGTCTCTCCTTCCCCTAGTTTCAGGGCTGGCAGACCCACTGGAGGAGGATGCAAAAGACACTCTGTGTTGGCTAAACCCACTTGTGGGGCAGGGTCAAGGAGGACAGGCCAGGCTGCATGCAGGGGGAGAGGGGAATATTTAGTTGGAAAGCCCTTGTTAAGCATGGAGCACAGCTGTGGAAGACTTATTTGTGTCATCTCACTAAAAGCACTATGCAGCACATGCAGGCTGGATACATGGGTACAAACACAGGGTCCTTTTCTCCTCTCCCCCAGCTCCTGTTCCTCAGTCAGGGCTCCTCCTCTGAGCATCCTTCTACCCCCCTGAGGGAAAGGCCTTGTTTCTGCAGAGCTGAGCCCATCTGACTGGTGTTAAAATGCAGGTGAGGCTGCCTGGGCTGGGAACCCATTCCTCCTTCCTTCCCTCTGTGCTTGCATCAATCCCGGGGGAGGTTGGGTGGGGGGATTTTTGTGGCAGATGGCTCCACACCCCAGATCTCCTGGGCATACTCCGTGATGGTCCTGTCACTGGAGAACTTGCCCGAGCATGCAATGTTCCTGATGACTTTCTTAGTCCACTCCCGGGGGTCCTGGGAAGAGGAGAGGCAATATCAGCAGTCAGTCCCTCACCCGGCTCTGTCCCGGCTCACAGCCTTGCAGGGCACCGGCTACGCACACTTGGCCGCTTTAAATGCCGCGGTGCGGGGCTGCCAAAGCAGCAAAACCTGCCTTGCCCTGCCCCATGCCCACACGATGTGGTGTCTGTAAGAGGGGCTCCGCAGGAGCACACGCATCCCAGCTCCCCCCTCTCCCCGCTGCACCGCCATGGCAAAGGACCCTGTCCCTCCCCCTCGGTAGTGGGCAGCTCTTACCATGAACAGCTGGTCCACTCGGCCTTGGCATTTAATGTAGGCCTCGTAGTCGGCAAACACCTTAAACCTGAAAGCCAAAGCAGAGTAAGGCTAGGGTTTGCTTGCTGTAGGGTGCCAGCCTGGCAGGACAGGGCAGCACAGCCATCTTCCTGCGGGCAGGCAGGGCTTAGCCCCTGCGCAGGGGGACCCAGGCCAGCTGGGAAGGAGGCCTGGGCAGGCTGAGAGCAGCACACCAAAGGGGACGCTTGCCAGGACTCACCTGTCATGGTACATGAGCATGTTCACAACGTCCCTGAAGCAACCGGGGTCTCGAGGGGAGAAAAAACCACTGCTGATCTGGTCGATAGCCTGTCGCAGCTCTGGCAGGCGCTCGTAGTACTCCTGTGCGTTATACCTGTGCCCACCAGAGACAGGCTGTAGGGACTGATGCTCTCCCCTGGGGCCCAGCACCTGGAGAGCAGGACCTGACATGTCTGGGGCAGGGAGGGCAGGCAAGGATGGCACATGGCTCCTGAATGAGGGTCTTTGTTCTGGGGCCACGTCCATCAGAGCATCCTGCTAGTGGCTCCAAGACCAGTAGCAGTGCCTGGAACGCTTTGTGCCCAGGCTCGAATCCCATTCACAGTCACTGTGCTCTGGGTGAGCTGCTTGGGCTGCATCCTCGATGGACCATCCACTGACCAGCCTGGGGCAGAGGCTGCCTCCAGCCCCCTGCTTTTTCCTGCTCCAGAGCTGCCCGGGGAGGAGGGTTTCCCTCCCAGAGATCATGGCTCTCCCTGCCAGAGCTGGGACCTGTCTCCCCATTTGACAAGCCCTGGCATGCATTGGGCTCTCCCCAGCACCAACCCTTGGCGATCCAGGGCCTCCACGTCCTCCACCCGCATGCCAAAGATGAAGAGGTTTTCTTCGCCTGCCTCCTCAGCCATCTCCACATTGGCCCCATCCATGGTACCAATGGTGAGGGCCCCGTTCACCATGAACTTCATGTTGCCAGTACCCGAGGCCTCTGTGCCGGCTGTGGAGATCTGCTGGGAGAGATCTGCTGCCGGGATCACTGCCGGATGCAAGAGAGGTAGGAGTTAATCCTCGGCACACTGTAGGTCCCCACGACCTGAGCCCAGGACAGCAAAACAACCCTGGACATCTGCTAGTGGCCCTGCTGACATCAACCTCAGCCCAAAGAAGCGCGTCTCTGGCGCCAGAGCTAGGCTCAGCCCTGCCACGACCCCATGCAGCTGCTGTCACTCCTGCATGCAGCTGGCTT